TAAGTTAACACGGACGGTTCTCCCACAAGGATACACTGAGGCCCTGGTCCTATCTGGACAGGCTTTGCAGAAAATATTGAAGGAATTTATCCCACCATGAGGAGTTAGGTTATTGCGGTGCATGGATGACTCCTACCAGGGGAACAATGGGGTGGTGGAGGAAGCCACTGTGAAGTTGCTCAATTTCTTGGCCCCAAAAGGGCTCAGGGTGTCTGAAAAGAACAAATGGTGGAAAGAAGGGTCAAATATTTGGGGCGTATCTTGACCAGAGGTTTACAAAGCCTTGACCCAGCAAGAATTTAGGGAATTTTAGAAGTACCGTTACCCAGAAGAGCGAGCGAGCTACGACAGGGATATTCCCAGGGATAGTTGGATACTGCAGAGGCTGGGTTGAGGATTTCTCCACTTGAGCTAGACCACTGTAAGACTTTTTAACCCAAGATGTCCCAGGGTTGTGGTATGGATGTAAAGAAAACAGAGCTTTGGAAAATTAAAAGATAAATTGAGCAAGGCTCTGGATTTAGCTCTTCCGGACCCAGAAAAGGATGTGAATTGTGTGTGGACGTCAAGTGGGGCCAGGCCAAGGGGATTTCGGTGGAAGAGCACGGAGGCACCCAAAGACCATTGGAGAAGCAAGTAATCGATCTCCAGACTCGGGCTAGGGAGGATTTGAGAGATAGGAAAAGGAGGGCAAACAGTAGGTACCCAAAGCCCTAGTCCTACCAAGAGGGAAACAGGCTCGTGAAGGAAGCGACTGGAGGGCCTGGCGTGGGCCCTTCTCCAAGCCTACACTGCCCTTGGTCATTTTGTCCTGGCTAAACAGGTTCTTGAGGGCTGCTTGATTTGTGCCAAGGCCAACAGATGAGCAGTAAGGGAAGCTGCGTTGTTCCTATGATGCCAAGCGGACTTTCCTTGCGGACTTGCATATCCAGTGGCATTCCCAGGGCTCTGGTAGAGGGGAAAGGGTGAATGGGAACATTAAAAGGCACCTTTTGAAATTGGTGTTAGAAACTAAGATGTCGTAGACACGACTTCTATTAGCAAGAACAAGGAAACAAACTATGGGAGACATTCAACTGTCCCCTTTGGGAATAATGTTTGGGATTCCCTACCCTGTTAACACCCACCCTGGCGGGGAGGTAGATATGAATAATCAGTTATGTGGCCAGAATAGTTTCTCCTGTGAAGCCTCTCCGGCAAGTCCTGCTCGCACACATCCTGTCCTTGGATTCTGCAGGAGCAGGAGACTGGGTCTTGGTCAAAGAATGGAAAGAAGCACTGCGGGCAGCAAAGTGACCTGGACCTTACACCTTACCCTAAGGCCTGGACCTTACACCAAGGGGGTAAAAAAAGGAGGCAATGAAGAGCAAACACAAGTTTGTGCCTTTACAAATAACGGAGTTACTCCATATTCTTTGACTGATGAGCAGGACAGAGCGGGCAAGACTAAGCAGAGCCAGGAGTCAGAGCCTTGGCAAAGCAGGGAACTGCTCCCCRTTCTTCAGCAAGGGCGACCACAGACTCAGCAGACCTCGGGTGGTAAGAGGAGGGAGGCCGGGAGCCTGTAACGTCTCAATACCTTGGCCAATGCGGCAAAGAAGATGGTGTGTGGAGACCCCACAAGAGCATGCTGCCAGGTAGGCAGGAGCCGCGGGGCCTGCCCAAGGGAGGGGACCCTTGGCCTTGGCCCAGCCCCGGGCCCCGCGCCCGGGAGGGCTGCCCTGCTCCCCGCGCGGCTCACGAGAGGCGGCGGAGCCTGCGGGCAGAAGCTCTGGGACTCCGGCAGAGCAGGGTCGCCCTCCTCGGTGGATTCCTGCTCCGCAGGAAGAGCAGCCAGTGGAGGAAAGTGGGCAAAGAGGCTGCAGCATCGGTGGGTCTTGTCGAGGGAGTCGCTGCGTGCACACGTGCCCCGGGCTTCAGGGGAGCGAGGACAGTCGGGAGCAAGTAAAGGACCGAAGCCAGGAGAAAGAAACATGCCGAACCTGCTGCAGTTCCTTTCACGGCAGGAGAGGGCTTCATGGGTTGTCCCCAAGGCGAGACCAACTGACGTGAGTCAAGGCACGAAACACAACACAACTTAATCATGACAGAATTTACTGGAAATCACCACCAATATTAGATATGTCAGTAGAAAAATAAAATTYACACAGCTTTATCATACAAAGATGCATCTGTTGCAGTAATTGGGGAAGTACAAAGTCTAAATATCAGCACACGCTGAAGCAACCATGCCGGGCTGGAGGGGCTCCTTGCTTAAAGGCTCCTTCAAGGAGCCTTGCCTGGTTTTCTGCACGGAGCCAGGGCCGCCGTTCTTTCCCCTTCTGCACGAGCTGCTGCAGTAGGGAAGGAAGCTGCTTGTATTGGCCTGGTTGTATTGACTGCAAACTGCTCTGCCGAGGTTCTCCCCTTTGCGGACAGTTTGAACCTTACCCACCTGAGGAGAAGGATTCACATTAAAGTATTTCCTAAATTGCACAGCTTGATTCCTTGGATTAATATTAATTCAGTAAACATCTCCTGAAGAACAGCTTCTCCAGCAGCTGCCAGCAGACCATTCGAGATGAGTTTTAGGACTTCAGTTTCTCCATCATGATAAATTCCCAACCCTGTTCAGGGCTGCCACAGCAGTGAGGACACGAAGTTCACAGAAGGGAACCGGCTTTACCGAAGAGCAGGTACCATAAGCAAGCTGGTGTGGAAACTGAACGAGCTCAGGAAAGACAGACATGGGAAGTGTGTCCTTGGAACCCGTTCTGCTGCGTACACATCTTCAGCAAGCCAAGGACCACGCTCAGGACYGCAGCAACATCGTGAGGCTGGCTACACTTCCCAGCAAGAGGCTGGTGATTCACCCTCAGCTTCCCCAAGGGCCTCCCCAAAAGCACCCAGCTTGCTACCTGAGAGCCCTGATCACACATTGTGCCTCCGGGCGAGAAGGGAGAGCCCGCAACTGGATAAAAGTTACTTAAAACAAATAATTAAAACACGTAATAAGGAGAGACCACATAGCCTGCGGCTCAGGGTCGGTCGTGGGGATATGCTCATCTGGCTCGTCACTGAAACACAGCAGTCACCCGGGCTCTTGGGGGCCCTACGAGGCAGACGATCCGCCGGGACGCTGCGGGCTAAGTATTTTATAATGCAAAAGCTGCCCTGCCTCTGYGCCTGCAAAACTGCAAGGGACAACGAGAGACTGTCCCCGGAGCAGTGAGGCAAGCACTGTGCTGAATTCCAAATACACGAGGCACTGACGTTTACAGAAATCAGTGCAGATCTCCAGTAACACAGTACCATCGTGAACATTTTCAGCAATTAGAAAGACAAGAAATTCAAAAATGCACGTATTTTTCAAAGCCTGAGAAGCAGCAGGGCCAGCTGCATCCCCGGGGGATCCCAGCCCGGCCGCAGCGCTCCCTTAGCCCGGCTTCACCTCTCCTGCAAAAGGTGCCTGAAGGGTTTCAGTGTAATCAAAGTTTACAAAAACAGCAATCCTTTTTTACACAATTATTTACCCCAGCATTCACATCCCCAGCTCTCCAACATGAGTTTCCCTCTAGCTAAAACCATTATTCCTTCTGTAGCTCCCCAACTTCGTTATAACCAAGATCTGGTATAAGAAAAATGGGGCCAGAGAGAAAAGGAAATTAAGTTTCTCATTAAAAAAAAAAAAAGAATTACCTTGAGGTTCACTGCAAACAAAGCAGCAAGAGGCTGAAACATTAACCAAACTGGAGATACCATGTTGTTCTGTCGTAGTGTTTCCATGCCAGAGCGGGCTGCAGCACGGTTTAGTTATGCCCTGCGCCTACCACAGTTGATCACCTGCGAACGGTCCCTACGCCTCCTCCAGAGAGCACAGCACTCGCTTGGCACTTGGCGTTACCAAAACGTAACAAAAGTTTGCTCTTTTCACCTTACCTTCGAGGGAACCTGGACGGCAGCCCCGCGGTCCGGGTGGGAAGCGTCYGCGGCGGGGAGCATCCGCGCTCGGCAGCAGCCCCGGCTGCCAAGGACCGCGTGCCCCCAACGGGTGCTGCTGGCACGAAACCCTGCGCGTTGCACTCGGCAAGAAGGACGCGGGCCCTCGAGAGCCTCGGGCGCGAAGGGAGCCCGAGCGGAGCCGCGGGAGCGCCGGGACCGCGCGCCCCTCGCTGCTCCCTCGCCCTTCGGCTCCCTCGGGGGTGCCGGGGGGCTAGAGCGTGGCTAAGATGCGCAGGAAGGAGACCACCACCACGCAGAAGGTCTGGCCCACGCCCAGGATGAGCGCCTCGAAGGGGATCATGTTCTTCCCCGCCGCTCGGTACACTCCGGCAATGGCAGCACCTGCACACGGAGGGGGGCAAGCAGCGCGCTGAGCGTGGGCCCCACGGGGCGAGGCGGGGGCGAGCCGGGGCCGCCCCACTCGTGTCCGCGGGCGGGGCGCCGCCTACTTGTGAGGATGCCGGCCGTGATGGGTCCCACGACGCCCATGAGCAGCAGGCTGAGGGACATGACGCGGCCGTACTTGTGGCGGCGCAGCGTGACGAGCGCGAGCAGCGCGGCGGGCGCGTGGAAGGCGAGCGAGGAGACGAGCGCCCACAGGAACACGCCGTACCACATCTCTGCGGGGCGGCGCGGCGCTGAGCGCCCCGCCGCCGCCCGCCCGCCCGCGCGCCCGGCCGCCCCGCCGCCTACCTGGGAA